ATAGTTCGCCAGCATTTTTCTTTCTTTGTTCTGTCGTGGTAGTCCCTCGATGACACATCATACAGGCAGGAGTACTGTTGCCACAGCTCCACGAACCTTTCCTCCATCTCATAATTCCACCTAGAAGCACCATCATCTCTCTTTCGTTTTGCCATGTTTGAAACCTGTGTATGAAAGAGCTTCTGTGCTGCTATTGGTCAACATCACCAATGTGACAGAACTCGTCGTGGACGACAGAAAAATAATGTCGTGAAGCATCGCAGACGCGGAATCGGTTGTCGTCCACTATGACACACTACACGTGCTGAAACGATGGAATCTTGCGTCCCGACGCCCATTGTCGTTTACGAATCCCCACGACACCCTACGTCAAGCAAATTGTGGCAAAATCGGGCTAAAATCGTGTAGTCTGAACCGGGCATAAACCCTATTTATAATCCTTATTTGAGGATTGGTCTTGTATTAGCCCTTAACTTGTGTCCTCACCTATAGGATCAAGATCTTCTCACCTGACTGTGGCTCTCCTCCACCTCTTCTTCCCGTCTCTCATATGTACGGCGTCTGCGGGGCTGGTAATAATGAGTGTAAGAAGCTCCTCGGTTGGTGTACACGTGGATGTTGCCTGCATGAGGATAAGAGTTGTTTGTTCTTTAAATATGTGACAGAAATATTTAGCTTGCATTGGATTCATTACTGGGACAGAGAAATGTGATGGACACATTAATGCAAATGAATGAAAACGTTTTCTATAGCTGTAATGCTTTTAATAGAGGTTCAGACCTGTAGGAAACCTGCCCCCGAAGAAGATGTTAAAGAGCTCCTCCGGAGAGATGTCAGCTTCAAAGTCTCTGTTGAAGGTGCGGTGGTGTCCGTACGCGTGACGTGGCTGGGCTGAAGTATGACTGGATGTCTCTGCAGGGCCCTGGTCCCCACACTGATCATATTGCTGCCTTTTCTCTGGGTTACTGAGCACTGCATATGCATTGCCTATAGCTGAATAGAGAAAAAGAGCAGTGAAACCCAAATATTAAAGTTTAATATGAGTAATATTTACATTATTCTAAATATAAATATAACCGTTGGGGAAAGTGAGAAGTCTATTATTATTTGATTAAATGAATGAAGTAAAAATAGAAACACTGTAAACTTTGATTACAATTTAAATGTTTTCTATTTGAATTTTGAAATGTAATTTATTCCTGTGATGGCAAGCTGAATTTTCAGCATCATTACTCCAGTTTTCAGTGTCACATGATCTATCAGAAATCATCTAATATGCCAATTTGGTGCTCAACAAACATTTTTTATTATCAATGCTGAAAACATTTGTGCTGCTTAATATTTAATAATAATATTTTTGTGGAAAACCATGACATTTTTTTTTTTATAATTCTTTGATAAATAGAGACATCAAAACAGCTTTTATTTACAATATAATTTTTTTGTACCAATCTAAAAGTATTTAGCGATCACTTTAATACATCCTTATTGAATAAAGTATTTAAAACCAACCCAAACTTTTTAACACCAGCAGTGGTCATAATGGTCATATGAGATACCTTTAAAAGCATCGGTCGCTCCAGGGGCACAGTTCTTATCCGGGTGGAAGCGTAGCGCCAGCTTCCTATAGGCTTTCTTCAGGTCCTCATCACTGGCATCCTTTGGCACCCCCAGAATCTCATAGAAGTCTCTGCATCTCTTTATCCTGCACGGGTTTAGGAAGCATATAAATGAACAATGACTGAATTATAATTTTTGGGTAACTACTCCTGTCAGTACCTGAGCACTCCTTGCCGCTGCTCCTCAGTGTAGCTCTTTTTGTCGTCACCGGACCCCTCTGCTCTCTCTTGTGTACTGGGCCGCTGATGTGGAGCCGGGCTGTCCTCATCAGAGTTTCTCCAGCCTGGTGGAGGAGTGTAGGTACGCTCCTCTTTAGGGGGAGTGCCGCCATTCTTCACAATGGCATCAATCAGTACTAATAATAGAAATCAGAGAGACATGTAGGGACTTTTAAAATCAGCTTGTACTTGCATACTTACTGTGTGTACACAGAAAAAATGGTAATGGTAAAGGCAGGAATACACTATATGACTTTTAAAATCTGAACAGATTTTTAAAACACTACTACCAGACCTTCAAGTTGCTCCAATCACAAAAATCTCATGCAGAAACATGCACCTTGTTGCTAGGAGATGCTTGACAAATGAAAACAATGTGTTCTATAATCGGCTGAAAATATCAAACATGTTTGATATACTCTGACTGGGTGGAATCAGTCTGAAGCTAACAAAATCAGAGTATGTGACCATCATACACTGTGCGATTTTCTATGGAATCTGTCAACACAAATCTGCAGAATGGCTCTGACTCTCGGCAACTAGCGTCAACTTCTCCAAACTGTAAATCGGTGGAAAATCAGGGCAAAAAATGTGTAGTGTATTCCAGGCTTTACACGTACGTAAATTATGCATAATTACATGCAGATAACACTAAACCAAACCTTACCGGAACCCTACATTAAGTACATGTTGTTGTTACTCAATACTTTAAAGTGTAAAAACAAACATATTATATTATATATGGAGTTAACCATAAGTTTTTTTTTTCTGCTGGTCCCCAATTTTCATTAACTGGGTTTCTACAAATTTTATGAAGGCAAATTTAAGAAATTTTAAAGAGCTTTTTAAAACCAAGTAAAGAAAATGTAAGGACCAAATTGAAGGGAATGAAATACATAAATATGTTTTCTAAAAGTAAATGTCTAAGGAAAATAATACTTTAATATTATATCATCATATATTAAATTAGAATATAAGCAATACTTCAAAGTTTGAAAATACAACCAATCTCCATTACTTATTAATTCATTTTACACATACACACAAACAAAATATCTTAACTAGAATATGGAAATAGCTTCTATGTTCTTCATCAGTATTTTTGCCTTGTTTTACAGTGCAAATGTTTAAAAATTCTTAAATCATAATATATGCAAAAATGAAGTGCATTTATCATTAAAAAATAAAAAAATCCACCAATATCTGCAAAATTAACTTAATTCAAAGGGAAATCCAGTTTTCACACCCCAGATATTTGTTCTTGGTCTAAACATAAATTCATTTAATTTTGTTCAATTTCTCAAAACAAGACTTCAAGTCTTCATTTTGCATCTCAAGTAAATGTATCTTGATTTAGGGACGTTTAGATATTGGGAAACAATACAAAAGTACTGACAAAGATATTACTTTTTTTTCAGCGTATGCAACATTTAATGCCTTGACTTTATGAATCTTTGGACAGTTTCGGGTCCCATTGATTTCTGTTGCACTTTTGTCCGTACAATTGAAGTCAGTAGGAACTAGGGATATTGATATCTGAGCTCCTGTACTCGTACTGGTTAAAATGCCCCTATACCAAATGCCGATACCACACAGCATGTGTTAAGTGCCATATTCAGACAATGAAACACCAACAACAGACAGCAGAATGGAGTTATTAGAGATTAAGGATGTCTACGAAGTATATGTATGCAATGAATATAATGTTAAACATTCAGTATTGACTGTATAACTGATGTGCGCGAGCTGATAAGCAAAGCACGCTGAGTGGATTGAGCGCGCGGCGGCGCAGATGAATATATCTTTCTCACAGACATCACTGGAAAGTTTGTAGTTTGGTCGGATACGTCAAAAACAAGTAAGTAAAACAATGCACAAGTTACTTAACGGTAGGGAGAGAGAGAGAGAGAGAGAGAGAGAGTGAGAGAGAGAGAGCGCGCGCGCAATTCTGTTGTGTGATCTTTGATGTTCACTCACTTAGCACACGCATCATTTGGATTAAAACTAAATCGTAAAAAAAATAAAACCATTCATGGGGCATTCACTATAAACATCATTTATTTTCAACCTTAGGCATACACGACTTTCTGGCGAAAGTGAATCTAACAGCCTGTGTGAAATGCCCTAGACTGTCTACTGTCCTCTCATTCTGCAACAGTACAAATATGTGCACGCATTGTGCGTGTTTTGCTTGCTTGAGTGTTTCTGCATTATATGAGAAGCTTTAGAATATAAATCGCAGCACATTTCAGATGAAAAAACGCGACTTCTATTTCTGAAAATATCACAGTTAGGAGATTTATAACGAGTGGTTCCCTGCATT